CACACACACACACACACACACACACACACACTCCCTTGCCTGTTTGCTCACTCCCACTCATGTCCCTGTACGGGAAACACATAGTGTTTATGTAGTGAATGTAACAACCAAGAGACAGCCTTAGAAATGGCAATTGGGAAAAGCAGAAATGATCATTGATCTCGCGAAAGTTTTTTATGTGTCAGAGTTCAAGAAACCAAAGGTTGTAACTTAAATCTCAGTTTTCAAAGAGTAAAAGTTTATATGGATGGCACTACAGGAAATAAAAATGCTGATTATTCATACCTGCTCCAGGAATTTGTTACACACAGTACATACTGAAGACGTTTTTCTTTTTTAAATAATAGCATTTTGTCCTTAGATAGTATTCTTCCTTTCAACCAAAGACTCCAGAATTATTAAAAAACAAAAAAGGAAAGAAAAAAAAAGAAAAATGAGGGAAAATAAAAAATTTTTAAAAAATGACACTGCTTGACACCAAAGGTTTAAAAAACATTTTCCAAATACACTAAGAAAGTTGTAAAAAATAGTACAGAGCCAACATAATGCCAATTAAGATACTACCTTAAAGAAATCATGTAAGAAAAAAAGTAAATAAAAGCATCAGCACTCTTAAATATCATTCATTCTTTGGAAACTGAAGTAAAACATTTCTGTAGATACATGCAAAATCCTGACATTGAATTTTAATTTGCTTTGAGAAATTCTTTTATGATAAATATGATCCAAACTGATGAAAACAAAACTTGGTGTTTTTTTAACTTTCAAAAACAAATGTCTCTGTCCTGTCACATGTGCACTAATCGATGCCCGCATATGTCCTTGTGCCATCCGAAGCAAGTTGACACTTCTCTCAGCTTGTATCTTCCCCTTTGCAGGTCAATAATTTGAGTTAAACCATGGTCATTTTTAGCATTATTAATTCAAACAAAGTTGCAGATAATTTAAATTCCATCACTTTTTTTTATATTTATTTGCATGGGTGTTTAAATAGTTCTGCTATGAATATTGTCCCTGCACAGTTCTGATTTGTCCTTTTATAAAAAGTGATTCTAGTTTCTTCACAATGTAGTGATTATCAGCCTTACTAATTACCTTGTAGCCTTTCTTATTATGCACATAATGCACATTTTCCAATGGCTAGAAAGTGCAAAAACACAAGTGGATATCATTGCATCTATTTTCATGTTTTTCTAAAAACAGGACTACTAAAAATCTCTGGGATACATGAGATAGTAACAAATGAGGATTATAAATGAGTAGCACATGAGAATTATTTTCTTGAATTTAAACTTATTACCTTCAGTTTCAGCATGTAAATATATAATAATGTTGGCTAGTGTGTAATTCTTGAACTAAGAAATATAAATAAAACTTAAAAGGATGTATGTGTGTGGTTTCATTGGGTTCAGAATTTTTTTGTATCCATTAGTATGAGTTAAATTCGTATAAAGGCTTTTGTGTAAAGCAATGAAAAGCTTCGGAACTTGGAACCTGCTGTTGGGCAGGCTTGACTTTGAGCTCTGACTTATATATTAGGTATATGATTGTGCAGCTACTAAATCCATCTGACTCTCAGATTTCGTATCTGTAAAGCAAAGATATAACTACATCTTTCAAAGGTCTGTTGTAAAGATTAAAAAAACCTTAAGAAGTCCTTAGTGCAGTACAAGATACATGGCAAGTGGTACATAAGCAATAAATACTATTGTTGCCATTGTGTTATGATACCTAAATTCTGCTATGTTATCTAAAACTTAACAGTAATTACTAAGTGTTTCCTTAGGTTAGATATTTTTTTAGGAAGGATGATGAAAAACTTGGCTTGCATTATGAAAACATGATAAACATAAGATACCTATTCATTTAACAGTCAACATTTATCTTCTGAAGATGTTATGCTAAGTACTTTGCAAATTTAATACTTATTTAATCTTTAACATATTCTTAAAAATAGAAGAAACTCAAGATCATAAAGAATAAGAACCTTGCCTGTGAGAGTGAAAGAACTTGGATTCCCACCAGGCTGGACACACCCCCAAAGCCTTGACATGGCTTTCCACCTCATCATGAAAAGTAAGTGCCTGGGCTTGTTTAATTCTCCTTCACTTTGGTCCTTTCTCAGGAAACATGGCTGAGGGCCTGCCATCTGCCACATCTTGTGCACAGGGCCCCGACCTCTTGGATCACACGGCAGCTCTCAAATGCATGAGAACTCTCAAGGCCAGTGAGTCAGTTGGTGACAAGTCTAGTGTCTGTCACTCTTGGTGACTTTAGAATGTCCAAACAGCCCCTCATTAGACTCTGTCAGCCTGAGCAAGGCAGCCTGTCAGGACAAAATTGTCCAATAAAGTCATGATTCACAGGAACTATACCTACCAAGGAATGATGCTACTGAAAGACTCACCTATAGGATGCGTGACGACCCAGTCCTTCTCAGCTTACATTGTAAATGGCAAATTGTATAATCTAGAAATGTAAAGGACTGACCTTTGCATTTGACATTCCCCCACCCTGCTAAGGTTTGGCATTTTGTCCAACCGAGAGGACACATGTATGCTCAGACACATGAACATGTTCACACAGCTGGTGGTGCCTATGTGAGTGTGCACACACGTGAGTGTGTACGTGCATGAATCCATGTAGGTGGGGGACCGCGAGAGGACCAACACGAAGTGGCAGCATAGATGGGGTCGTGGTCTCTTATTTACCTTGGGAAGGGAACATTCCTAGATATCCGTCCCCCAAAAGGAACTGACCTATTGGTAATGGGAAAATTCCCCCACTCATATTCCAACTACTGTAATTTCCTAAAGTGAAACTCTACGTATCCTTGCCCTCTTCCGAAGTTTGTTCTAATTCTGAAATACCATGTGATACTTTTCATGCAGAATATTTCTCCAAGCCCATCCAACCCACCTCGGCATGACTTCACCGCCAGGACGAGAACCGAGGAATAACCTTGCGGTGACAAGTTTCAGACAAGCCCCAGCATGATTAGGCTTCTTGGTCAGATCCTCTTAGCAATGTATTGATTGATATGTGGTGTGCTCTTTCGTTTCGAGTGACTAGCTAGGTCATTAGTATTTATTTGCGTATTTATGTTTTCACTTCAGAGATTTTTATTGGAAAGAAAGGAGAAGCCGCTGGGACAGGCTTCGAGTCCCACACGTGAGGCAAATGAGTGTTTTGAAAGGGATGGCGAGAGAGCGGGAGACATTTCTCTGAGGCTGGGAAGGGGAAGAAGGTCCGCAGTTTCCACGGAAGTGGAGACTTGCACACTTGTCCGGGGTGGTTTCCTGGGGAAACGGCAGACCTCAGAGCAGATGGCGCAGTGACGCTGAGGAGGTCAGCCCCTGGCACTGCCCCAGGCAGGCCTCTTAACAGCAGGGTCATATGTCCATCGCCAAAGAATCAACAGGCTAGCTAGAACATCTCAGTAGAAAATGAATGTGTTTTTTCCTATGCAGCTTCATTTAAGAAGTTAGAGTCATCATTTACACTCCTATCTTGGACTTAGTGGGTCCTTGGTCTCTCTGCCCCGGGAAGTGGTATGAGAAACACAGGATGAATCTGACATTGGATAGTAATGTGCGCTTTCTAGGAATAGATGTCCAAAGGGTCTGGGGATAATTCACTTCAGTTGTGAAAGTTAGAAGCCTAACGAGAGGTGCAAAATTTGGTTAGAGGATTAATATGTCTCATATCCTATGTCTTGGAAACTCAAATGCGTATGCAGGGCTTAATAGGAATTGTAAGCAGGTAATATAGTCCTCATGCAAACAATTGGGAGTGGTGGGGGCTGTGGATACCTGGGGAGTACAGGCTCTATCGAAACAGGCAGCCGCCACTGAGCCCTGTTCAGTTGTCGTTTTAAGGAATTGCAAGTCCAGTGTTGGCAGAATAATCTTAGAATGCAAGAAGCAAGAAATCCTCCAAAACACGAAATCTTTTACTTTCCCCACGGGAATCGTATGGTCAGAGAGACAATGAAACCTTTATCTTTCCTGCGCCCAAAAGCCCACACTGATGTTCTGTAACTGTACTCCTCACACTAAGGTTGAAGAAAGAAGCACAGGACAAGCTCCATGAGACTGTATGTAGGTGGAGCACTCGTCTATGCCATTAGAATGGTGGCAAGGTCCTTTTTCTCCCCTTTCCTGGAGGCTGATACTTTATAAATGTAAAAAAGTAAAATGAGACCTTTTTGTGTTGTCTCAAGACAAGAAAGATATAGAGACTTTTTTTTTTTGGTATAAACAGGTACATAACATTACAAGGAGAAGTTTTCACAAGGTAAATTTTCCACTGTCTCAAAGACCTTATAGAGACTGGAGTTTAGTGACTTAATCTGAAATGAAGAACTAATAAAAAATTACCCAGAAATTTCTGAGATGAAGCAGCACCAGTAGGAGATGGGAAATGTATAGTAGTCTTCCCTTATCTTATTTGAGGGGGTTGTTTTAAGACCCCTCAGTGGAAGACTGAACCCTCACATAGTACCGATATGTTTCTTCCTATACATACATACTTATGATAAAGAGTAATTTATAAATTAGGCACAATAAGAGATTAACAACAATAACTAATAATAGAACAATTATAGAAATATACTGTAATAAAGTTACATGAATGAATACCTTTCTCTCAGCAAACTAGCACAAATTTACTTTTCTCTCTTCACAATTTCGTGGATAGATGTATTCTTACCATAGATCTTAGCAACCTCAGCACCCAATTTTTTTCTTTCCTT